CCGCCAATCGGCATTTCGCATCGACTTTTTCGATGCAGATATTCAAATTCCAGAGACGTAGTTGTAAGGTTTCCTTCCTTTTCTCGCCTTGCCGCCAGAGCGCCCCGGAGAGCTTGCTCGCAGGCTACAAGAGACCTTTGTGTTCTTGTACTTACATAACAGCTTTCATATTTTTTTTAGGATAAGATGAGCTACTAAGCGATGTACATTCTTTAGCCTTATTCACGATACTCGCCATCTTTGCACGCGCTTAATGACTGATGGGATAAAAGCTATGTCACGTGTTTTCTTAGGGGGCAATTCAAACAAGTGATAAAATTTGCCAGTGCAACAAATCACAGTGAAGTTTCTTTATTCTAGACAACATTAAGGGCGTGTTTACATGAAGGTGGGGGACCCCAGGTATTTGAGGTAACCCGCATGTTCATATAATCTCTCAGTTTAATTTGATCACGTTTACATGATAGGTGGGGTGACCCGCCAAATGTTACCTCACCTATCTGGGGTCCCTCACCTCCATGTAAACAGGCCCTAAATGAAGAACGTTTCAGCTTAATGACGATAATGTCAAACTATGGATGGGAGCGATTTATTTCATATACATTTGTGACATCGTTACTTTTCTCGGAAAATGAGCCCAGTCTCGCTCCTCCCCTCTCTTCTCGTGTAGGAACACGACCGAGCCTGAGAGAACGACGAGAATCGAAACTAAAATAACTCAAAAAAAAAGAACAACAACAACAACAACAAAACATCGACAAGCTGTTCTATGATATCTCCTACCTGTTTCCAAAGATTGTTTGAAAAAGAGTACAGAGGCCAGAAACAAAGAATATAGTACTGATTATCTCGCTGGTGGCCAGAGGATTCTGATCGTAACACATTGGCTTTGCTAATACAAGAGGAATGGCCAGCGTTGAACCAAACATGGTTAAGTAATGCTAAAAAAAGATAAAAAGAACAATTTAATATAACCATGCGAACCAGCTCTCCGTTGATAATGAACGAAGCGAGCCGCGAAAGAACGCGCGTGCGAGTGGCGAAGCATCTCCTTTCGCGTGCTGCTCTCGCGTGATTTCTCGCGACTCCCCCAAATGGAGGGCTTGCTAGCAAGCTAAGTTACTTTTTGTCTTTAATAACACTACGTGTTGCGGCGAACGGCGGCACACCATGACATTCACGAGGCGTTCTATAAAGACTCACAAGTGTTGTTGACCGTGACAATGACATGTAAAATTTCGATTTCCAGCGAATGAAAGCAATAAACTCGAAGAAAAACCTTAGCAAAACAGATAAATAAAACTTCTGTATGTTTTTGTAATTTTACTCGGTGTGGACTCATGCACGCCGTTGTCAAGGCGGCAAGATTCTGGAGACGGACGGAGATACGACACATCTCTTATCTCGATCCCAGATGTTGCGATCCTTTTGATCAGCATCAACGGTCTCTTGCCCGCTTCACGAGATAAGGAACGGCTCCTTACCAGATTAAGGCAACAAGGGGTTTGGGAACGAGAAGGGATGGTCGTATGGCTGTGCGCATGCGTAAGATATGGCCATGACGTGGTGATGTGTCGTGTCTCGATTGGTTTTAGGTGCTTATGTACGGGCGAGGTTACCTGAAATCCGAGGACAATACTGAGATACCATGGTGGGCATTCATCAATGACATAAGAAAGTCCCAAGGCGTTTTTACGCCTTGTATTTGTTTCCTCCTGTGGAACAGAGAACAATTATAGCAGTCAAATCGAAGAGTTTGAAATCGATCTTCTTAGCCACAACAAATGACAGTACTTATTTACTTGGTGTGTTCCTGCTTCCTGTGTGGTTATTTTCCCGATCCGTTGCGATTTAAGCTATTTCCTCTAGTGGAAACTCGGGATAAAGGAAATCGCATAAATCGCTACCGATCGAGAAAATAACCACACAGGAAGCAGGAACACACCAGGTAAATAAGTTAAAGCGTATTTCATTGAAAATAACTGCGAGTATTTATTTGTAGAATCTATTGCCTGAATTCCCATACAAATCCTTTATGTTGACGGCCATTTTGAAAATAACGCAACCGTACGTACTCTTATATTGAACTTGGGCCGCCTGTGTTTTCTACAGGTAGTTTGAACAGCGGCACAACATTGCTTGGAGGGGATGATGGAGAGAAAACTTCATCTTGGACGGAGGAGGGAAGGCTTCAACAAAACACTACGCGACTGACAGCGACGACAAGGACTTCCTAACTGCTAAAGCCATGCCGGCAATACCATAAGCCCCTGATCGCAGGGTATGTCTCTTTAGATTGACCAGAGAGTTTTCTATATCCTTTATTGTCCCTGATAAAATGATTTCTTAGAAATGAATTGCCAGTCTGAAAGTTTATTACGTGTGATCCAGCGAAAGGCCTTTTTTGTAACGTACAAAAGTGTTCCGGATATAGGGTCATTATCCAGAAAGTTTGATGAAAAAGATCCCCAAAATGTGCGGATGATCACATTTTAATAAGAATAAGTTGCAGTACATGACACAAAACCTGACTCCACTAACACATTTACGTGAAAAATCTGCGAAATCTCAGGAAATCTTAAGAAAGGCTCCTGCCGAAGGACAAAAGGACAGAGATAGACTGCTAACTCTTTTGAAAAAGATCATTCATAGCTAAAGCTGTTTACGGAAGACCTCCTATTGCTATTATACAGTTCTGCATTGAAAACGTCCTTCTGGTCTTTGCCTTCCACGCAGACGGTGTTAGAGCTTTGTCACACGTTCCTGCCCCAACAGATGGTGTCAAGAATTTTAAGGCAAAAAAGTCTATCGATTTTTTATTTTATTTTTTGGAATAATCGGGCAAAGCGCAAATATTGCCTTTTCCATGTAACACAACGTGAGCATTAGACTTGCTTGAAGGAGTGTGCGTATTGAAACCCGATCTAACCGGTATTTGATTGCTGGATATTCCGATCCAAAGTAGCCATTATAAAGTATTTGGGTTAGTGGCTTTCACAAGGTTGGTATAAAGGTTTTCCGATGGATAGGTAGCCGTTTTTTAATAAGACATGGAGTTAGTCGCTACCTTTGAGGCGGCAATATGGTGCATTCATAAATAATATCATAACACAAAAGGGTTAAAGTAACAGCTAGAAAGAGGAAGAAAATTTTAAAATTTTACAACATTTTAACGACACCAGACAACTGATTTTACAGCTAGCAAAGCATGAAAAGAAAGGTTAAGTTTCCAAGATCAGTCAGTCTTTGGCAATGGAGTTAATCCTTTTACTGGAACCTAGAATGATTAATATGACCTTTATTCATCACTGAAGCGTGCAAGCCACAGGGAAGCTGTCTTCTTTAATATACCTTATATTTTCCATGTACCATTCAATCGTCAAGTCATTTCGATAAGTTATATTAATTTAGTCGCACGGGCTTTTGCAGATTTTGATTTACCGCAGTGCACAGCATTAATTGTAAACTGGAAGCGCTTTCGATGGAATTGTAGTGGCTAAAGTCTGGGCTTACGTTAAAGCGTTCCGTCGCAAAATAAATCACCTAATTAAAAGCACAAAACATCATTGTTGTTACTCACCTGGATGCAGTCTTCACTAGCCATTGTTGGTCTTTCGCTTCTACTACGTGTAATATTTTAGCAAGCGTTCGCTAAACAGCAAGATAGGCGAGTAGGTGATCTAAGATTCAGGAGTTGTAATTATTCCGCAATCGCAGCGACATACAATACAATGTAATTTAACAACAGTGGTCAACGAGAGGTCACCGCCATGACGAATCGTAAAAAGGGAACAATACGATACGCGTTGAGTTCACAATAAGTGATATCCGACCGCGCCCAAGGAGCGGATTACTGCTTTCAAAGGTAGTCACGATGCGTTATGCTTTATATGTTGTACCAGTGTCATGCAAATTCAAGACTTGGTTGATACTCAGCGCTTTAGCCATGAATCAACTAAGTTCATTCTGGATAAATCAAGTAGGATCTGCATGTTTCATCTGCTTAACTTTTTTTACACAACTAGAGGACCCATGAGGTTTTCTATGTTATTGTTGGATACTGGATTCCCGGTGGATTCCGGAATCAATCGTTAGCGGGATTCCGGATACCTTGAGCAGAATTCCAGAACTCCAGATTCCAATTTCATTTCATGAAGCTACTTGTAAGTTCTAATAAAACTGCAGTAAAAAAATTCAGTTTCTTATTTCTTTTTCGGGTTCTCGTTTCTCTTCCAATAAATCCTGCAATTGTTATTTTTTTGTAATTTTCCAAAAATAGAAGTTAAGTTTAAAAATGAAAAGGAGTAAACCAGCCATGGGGGGATCGAGAATGACCCTGCGAACAGTGGTTTCTCCAGGTTGAACGGAGACGAGGGGAGAGAAGCGAAGGGAGAGGCTCGGCATCCAGTGTGGAGCTGACTACTGCTCCGGTTGTAGTTCTCGCTCCATCTATGGCTGGTTTTCTCCTTTTCATTTTTAAAACTTCTTTTTTTAGAAAATTACAAAAAAATAATAATGGAGCTGATCTAAGAGAATGATATGGCGATGATGTATTTCGTGACGCTGGTGTTTTGCACTCTTAAAAGAGCCTCTCATAATCCAAATCCCATCAGCCCTAATTACCGGTAATTAGATAGGTCCAATCCACAATATCCATGTACAAATACGCCTTATGATCTACATACGTCACCTTGATTGAAGAATTAGCTGAAGGAATTTGATAAAAAATCAAAGCATTTTCCCTTTGGTATTTTTTAAAATTCTTGTAAGCTTTTGTCATATTTTCAGGAGAAACGTGATGTTGGTCGACGTTTCAGCTATAAAGTTGCCCATTGTAAATCAGGTGAGAAAAGTAAAACAGGATGGCTATATCAAGCTGTCCCGCCCGATTCAAGCAGCTGCTTGATACATTGACCAATCACAGAGAGCCTATTAAATGAAGATTTGTTTTAAATATTGCCAGCTCATACAGGATTGTCTAAGTGGTGGTCTTTCCTTGCTATGTAACTGAAGCATGTTTTTATGACCCTGATAGTAGCCTATCTGTACATATATAGGCTACATGCTATTTGAGATTTAATTACTGAAACTGCTACTCACACAGACAAGTTGAAGCTTAAAAATAATACTGAAGGCAGAAATAATCATCATTAAAAATATTCTACAGAGGCCTTCCAAGTGCTTCTTTAAAAAAGCTAAAGCTAAGAATAAAAATAAGGGAGATTTAAAACGAGCACTCCGCTTAGAATGTAGTTAGCAGGTAGCGTGACCGAGCGGTTAGAGCGTTAGACTTGAAATTCGGAGGTCCCGAGTTCAAATCCTCGGCCATGAATAGGCAGCTGGTTTGCCTCTGGCCTAGTTTGATTTGAATTATTCAGAGTTTCCGGCATTTTGCTCGGTCTCACGCCGAGGGTAAACAAAGGACATCATCTATTTATTTATTTGCTGTTGTTCGATATTTCAGGAAGTCAATATCGCAGATTGTCGCAGATTGTCACCTTTGAGATTGGATTAAAAGTATACAGTCCATTTTCTTTATTTTGATTATCGTAGCAGAGCAAGGAGTTCTCGAGTTTCTTTCTTAACAGAAAAATAACCCCTTTGAAATTATTGACTGTAAGCAAGAGAGAATGTGGTCTTGCTTTAAGTCAAGAATTATGAATTTCTCTTTGTTTTCCCCAGTTTCCGTCTGGATAAATTTCTGGATGGCGCTAAGAACCAGCCTTTGGACATTGCGTTCCATCGGGAAATTTGGACTTAAATTTTTTAGCCTCACCTTCTGTACTTTTATGGTACGAGGGCGTAGGCTTTGTAAACGCGCTGCTCGGTTAAAGCCTATATTTCCTCATTCCTTTTCAGTTTCAATTCTTAGCCAATCCGTAATCCGTTATCAGCGATCCGATCTAGTGTTTTATCAATCCAGTAACCACTCCCTTGTCACGCCCACTTTTGGTCGAAGAGACCGAGGAGACCTGATAAGGAGTATCAAACAACCAAAATGGCGGCTTCTGGAGACGATCTTGTTGAAGACGTCGTTGAAGACATATGCTTTGATGTTGTGGCTGTTTTACCAGCGGGAGGATGTGGTGTGAGAATGAATCTTGAGATTCCTAAGCAGGTATATAATAGATTTATACCAAAAAAGATGTTTTTAGCTGAGAACTTAGTAAGTGGACATATCGTAGAACATTCCGACACTTACATATTGATGGTTTTCACGGTGACGTCATCAGATTGCAAAGTCAAAAAAGCCAGGTTTTACGAATTCTTATTTACACTAGGTTGAAGATTAATAGGAAATAAATCTTTGTACTAGTTTCCAGCCCCGATGCATGTTTCATTTCGAAAATACAGCAGTTTGAACTTCCGAGTTTTCACAGTGCGTGACACCAAAATAGGAATGCTATCTCCTGGAAAAAAGTCTCTCCGCTTGATTTTCAGCAGTTTAACCATTTCAAGTATTAGAAGATATGTTTATGCGCAAGTATGCTAGTTCTCGAGTGAAAAGGAGGCGCTTTTATAGAAAAAGTGAACTCCAGATGTTTTTGTTGATTTCCGGCGGCCATATTGGTGGACAGTTTCTGTCCACCAATATGGCTCTACAAACGTGCGTGAAATGTTTCGGCAACTAACTCAGAAACTGTGGGCCACAAAGACCTGAGATTTGGACAAATTGTTTATATATTAGTCTTTTATAACATTTCATTTTCTTGGCTTCTTCCACTGGACGGTTTCAAATGTATTTTTTTGTGCCATGTTTATTGCGTGACAGTGAAAACGAAGAATACGCATGAAAGTCAGCCTTATTAAGTCTTAAATCATTGTCCATAAACTTTTACAAGCTAATAGGCAAGAAAGAGACTTCTACTTGTAAGCTTATATCGTCGGTGGAAAGTAAATCTCTTTATAGTCATTGTAGTACGTCGGCTGATAATTTATGCCGCTTGAAAACGAAGGTTGTTTTTAGTAGCAAAGCAATACTTAGAGTGAGTGATATTAGGCGAGCCTCTGTGAACAATGACCAGATAAAGGAGCTGATTACCTTGGCAAACATCTGTCAAATGTCTTTGGAATATTTTTTTTTTCAGTTCTGAAATATACCCTGTAAAATCTTGAATCTGTGTTTAGTAAGGAAGCGGGAAAGGCAATAGGGGAATCCCCGAAAATAATTACGAGAGTGTTGGTCAGAAAATTTAAGAAAATGCTCCTTAAAACTGGCACCAGAATCCTGTTTCTTTAGGTGTGGCGACAGGCAGCCCAAGCGCACTATGTTTGGGTTCGGGCTTCAGAGGTCATTTGGTCGCAGTATACTAGTATTATTAGTGTATTATCTGATGTCAAATAAATGCAAAATAGATACCAGTGGCCTTTAAGATAACGAGGGTTGATATTTCTTACATTATTACATGTGATTCGGGCCCTTATTGTTCGAATTTTATCACATGCATTCGAATCTACAACGCTAGGAAAAAAAAAGTCATGATCATGTGAAATATTGATTCAAAAAGCTCCCTTACCTTTAGTTCATAGCCACTCTGTGTCCTATGGCCGGTTTAAACACCATTTAGTCGACTTACTTTCCATCCAGTACTGAACACTATAAAAGAAGGGAAGGCTGGAGACCTTCCAACCGACCCTCACCATGCGAAGGCCAATAAATTCCAAACAAAGCAACTGATCTCCCTGAAATTGCCACCAGTGAGACCGAAGAGTGTACATCCACCTGTTCGACGAGCGCCAGTTTCTAAATTAGGCTGCATGAACCTGAGGAGCGCTGCACACATCGATTCTGGCTAGCTTCGCTTCGCCATGATGCGTAATCTGACTGTTATCCTATGAGATTCAAATCTTGGAGCTTAGCAACCGCGTCAGATCGACAAAACGTCACTCTCGCGCGGGAGGGTTGTTCTTCTTTGCCCTATCGCAAACCGACACCGTCGGGAGACGTCTTTGGGTTTCATGTGTCATACATGCGTAAGCTTTTGCCGGTCGAATTTAACGCTCCGGCTCCTCCGACGGTGTCGGTGTACAATAAGACAAAAGTAATGACTCTCCCACGCGAGAGTGATGTTTTCTCGATCTGACGTGAAAAACCAGTTTATTTTTTTAATTAAAAGACAGTGTCAAAGTTTTTGTTGAATATACTATTAATATACTTAGATAAACAGAAAATTAATTTAGGTGCTTACAATTCAATTTTCCTATCTTGTAGTTTTATCGTGTTATGGGAAGGCCACTGATCAGTTACACCCTAGAAGCATTTGAAAGGTACATGGCTAATGTTCAACTTTGTAGTTCTTTTTTTTTTAACCCTTCAAGTCCCAATTCCAGTCATCAACATCAATTTTCTCCAAACATTATCAGTAATCAGTTATATACTTGTTGAATTCTATTTGTTTTCAGTGTGTCATGGATCAAAGAAATTGTTGTGCCTATTGGTGAGAACTATTTAGAAGTAGCAAAGGAGGTATGATGTACAAAAAGAAAATAACTTAGACAAAATGAGCTGGTAAATGATGGTTAATGATTCTGTTGGAGACTGCTTTATCCTTAAAGCCCCTGAACTGTAGGTTGTGCCTGGAAAAAAACCCAAGTGATTTCTGAAAAACTGCTAGATTTTCTTTCTTAAGTATCATTACATGTACTTTTCATTTGGTTAGGAAATAAACATTACTGAATAGCGCCTGTTGAAATGCATTGGCTATAAAATTGTGGGTCCCATGAATATTTGGGTAAAGGAGAGTAATATGTGGAGTATTATAGATCAATGATCAGTTGGGGCCTGTTTGCATACACTCTTAACCTTCTATTGCATCCATGTAAAAACAAGATCAGACACCCATCAAGAAATTGAGGAGAACCTGGCAAATCAAGTAGTGGATATGTTGCAAATTTTATTTTCTTTTGTTCTTGGGTGTGGTAACGTACGATATAACATGGTAATGAGTTTCAAACAAAAGGAAATACATTTTAAACCAAGGATAAAGTTGAACGACAACAGAAAAAAATGATAATGATATAAAAGATGATGATGATTCACCAGCCCCTCTCAGCTAGAAATGTATAAGTGTACTACTTATCTAGTATAGACAAGAAAGTGTTGTAATGTCTGTTTGTTGGCAAAAACTTTTTCTGTGTGTTCAATAAAACATCTGGAAATAATTTGTCATAATTTAGCCCTTATACCTCATCCCTTCAGTGTTTCGATATATGTGGTGTTATTTTTTGTACCTGTACTGTTTCAAGGTGCTGAGGGAGTTTTCTCATAACAAAGTCAGGTTAACATCTGGAGGTTCAACAAGGTCAGTCTGAATTTGCTTGTAAAGTGTTGTTTAATTGGGCCAATATATATGCTAATTGCTCTCCTGGATTATTTGGAATTCTCCTAGACACAGCATTGATCTCCTGCTCTCCCGTACAGGTCACCAAATTTCCCAGATAAAAATTAAGTGACTTTTTAGCTTTTCTGTGGTTTGTGTTATTGTCAAAACTCAAATTTTTTATACTCATAGTACGGTTTCTGGGGCATCTTTGCACGTCTTTATAATAGTCATCGACAAACATTATTTCAATGATGTATTCAAACAAAGTTTGATGGTGGGGGAGGTGAGGCATTGACATTCAAGGGGTAATGCAAAACAGAGAATCTCCAGATCTTAGATCTCTAGAGGTTAGCATCTCTGGGCCAAGTTTGTGCACTTTCAGTTAAAATGCAGTTTTTTTGGACTAGTCACTTGGATTCCATACCACCTGCTCAAAGCTGCCCCTAGAATGATAATTATATAAGAGGCATTAACGTTTTGGCCAGAAAAACTGTCAGAGTGACTGCAACTGCTCAGGGTAGCTGGTCTCCTCATCTTAACTTGCTTTTGGCTTTCAGACATAGATCAATATGGAATGGCATTCAAGCTCTTACTGAAGATAGCAGATCTCCTCCCAAAGTAGTAAGTATTCAAAGAAATTTCCATCATACCTTTCTCCTTATAAAAATTTTCCATTTTAAAAAACATCAAATCAACAACTTTGGAAGGACTTAGATGTTAGTTAAGATGCACCTTGGTGAATCCCTCTACATTGGCCAATTCATTATTAGCTAAGTGTGAGATAAAACCAAATGCTAGTGATGCAGAGCAGAGCTGGGGGGACACTCAAGGAAGGTTAGGGTAGAGGTGTGCCACATAAGCTGCTAATCCCTGACCTGTTAAAGAGGAAAATAGTTCATTTTGTTGCCCTGTTTGAGAAAAGAGACCTTGTTTTCCTCGGGGGCACTTTGTTTTGCATACATTAAATTAAATTAAGTACTGGTATTTTTTCAACTAACATTGTAGAATATATTAAGATATTTTGGAAAAAGATTGTTTGTAGCACAAATGTAGTCCATTTATAGCTGTTACAGGCCAAAATTAAATTCAGGTTAATTTTTTTAAAGGTTGAAAACCTAGGTTGATTCTTTATTTCCTCCTTAATATATTTTTCATGAATTAGGGCAAGGAGACAAAAGAAACAGAGAATCAACCTAGGTTAAAAAATTTTAACTTTAAGGAATATAATAATTATTTTAACCTGTAACATTGCCATCCTTCCAACTCTTACTTTTAAAAGACATCTGGTCCAAAAATACACGCCTGTTCAAGATGCTTAATAGTGAATTTGTAGAGCATAAGGGAGAAACCATACGCTGTTCAGCAACATATACCTATTTAGGCCAAATAAGGGAGTGCTTCCCCTGCGTGCCCCCCACAGCTATTTAACTACTCTTTGCCACTTTGTCGCTTAATGAAATCCATTTCTCCAGGTAATTCTTCATGATGTTGTTCGACCTTTTGTTGATGAACAAACATTACAGAGTGTAGCATTAGCAGCTGAGAAATATGGGGTAGGTAGTAGTTTGCTTGATTTACCTGCATTAGAATTGACAGCCATTTAAAAATGATTTCAAAAATTAATAGAGATTCAGAAGAAAGAGTTTTGCATCAAGGGAATATCTCGACATTAACTCATTGTCTTTAACAGTCGTGTGATCTAATCAGTCACATGATTGCCCATCACTTGAACATTCCAAAGCGCCTAATGTATCAAAGCTGATATGTCCAGGCCCTCATTCTTGCTCAATGCTGGACTCAAATTCTTAATTAGCAGTATTTCTGCAACATTGTACTTGTGGACCTCTTCTGTTATTTCAAGCTTAATAATTAAGCTTGAACTAACAGATTGGATTTTTCATAAAGGCCCTACAATGGTCATAATGTTTCATAAAGGCCCTACAATGGTCGTGAATATCTGAAGTGGAGTGCATCATATGTTCTTGCATACATACTTACATCCATTGATCTACTTGTTTTCTCTTTCTGCCTGCTTTCTCTCCTGTTTTGCGCTCGCCCTCTAGTGCTGTTAGAACTCCTCGTGTAAAACAACAACAACAAAACATAAAAAATGTCTGGACGACAGGGTAGATTGCTTCTGTCACGGTTTTTTCTTTCCAAAAACCAGCCTTCCTCTCAGAAACGATTTCAAAAATTGGCAGTAGCTGAAAAAGAACAAACAAAACAAAACGAAACAAAAATAAAGAAAAATTTCGTACATTCTTTTGTTTTTGCTTTCCTTCCAAGTTTCTAAACAAACTAGCGCAGAGATGCTTAACTTGATACGCAGGCTAAAATTCCGAAGACGTCAGCCTTGTGCCTAATTATTAATAACAGCTCTTGCCTGATATGTTTTTGTTTTTCCAGGCAGCCGGAGTCATAAGACCTCTAGCATCGACTGTCATAGCTCAGTCTTCTGATGGTTTCTTGGACCATTCACTTGACAGGTAGATAACTCTTGTAACTTTCTTGCACTTCATGTGCTTGCCTAAAATATGAATAAACGAGCTAGCGTCTAAATAAAATGTAAACTATGTCGGTTAAGGGAGTAAAACAGAGAAATATGTTGATTGACCATTGTAGAGAGGTTTACTGAGCTGTAGTTTTCAGAGGCTCCGAAGGAAGGTTAATATAGCATACGATCTTGTAAGCCCTTGGACCTACCTAGAACTTGTCCCATACAGTGTCTGAAAACAGTGTACATTGGCTGAATATGAACTTTATTGATGTCTCTATTTAACAGATCAAAATATAGATCAAGTGAAATGCCACAGGCCTTCCAATACGAAGTTATCAAAAACGCTTATGAAAAGGTGCGTTGCAATACAGTGTTTTCCCCTTAAGATCTGTTATCATAACGAAAAATGACAGCATTCCGCATCGCCATGAGTTTCATCTTGTTTGCTACGCGTGGCTAAGGTTGTAACTCCCAAATTCATACGTTCCATAGAATATCTTGAAGTATCCTACGGTAGTTACACCGTGATTCACTTTTAATGTTGTTTTCTTTTGTTTCAATGATCATACAACACCACACCCAAGAACAAAACCAAAGGTAAAATGAGGAATCACCTCATACACTTCACTCCGGCTTCTTCCTAACACCGACGGTAGCTATCATAGACAACCTAAGCAGCTGTAGTTGCATGTGACCTTCTCATCTGTCCCACTCCATCCACCCACTTCTATTCATTTACATTTCCAATACATGCACTTGCTAATGACAATGTAGGTGAACACCCTCCCTCCCGGGGGGGATGGTTACTCCCTATAATGGCCTATGCTGGGAGGTTCCGCCCAAAAGGGGTACCTTTTTCGTGCTTTAGATACAAGAAAGCATTGTCATTTCACTAAATGAAGTATATAAAAGGGTAGAGAAGTCGATCATTTTGATCTGTAAAAATCCGTAAAAACGCCCGAAAAGATTTAACAGATGCACCTGTGAAAAAGTCGATAAAACGTTCTGGTTATGTGATTTATTCATATTTAAGATACAGTGTATTTTAAAAAGGGTGTAAAGTTCTAAACTAGGTACGTAAAAAGGGTTCCATTTGTCAATAGAAGGTATACGAAATGAGTACCTTTCCGTCAAAAATGGTATATAAAAGGATAAGGGGTTTGACCTCGGGGCGGAGCCTTCCCGTATGAAACATTCTTGAGTTATGCCCCCTCCCCTCCTCTACGGAGTGAAACCTCCAACTTGCATGCTCAAGTTAACTTTGAATTTGTGTAAATTCTTTTCTTAGTGCACGGAATATGACTTTGAGCATGGCACAGAGTGTCTGCACTTGGCTCAGAAATATAGTGAAACAAGAGCTTGGTTAATTGATGGACCTGAGACACTTTGGAAGGTTGGTCTCATTGTATCTTATCGTTACTTTTCGAACATCAATATCAAATGGACCCAAATGGACTCCAATTTTTCCAGCTTTTGACTGGGACCATTTAGCGAAAATCCAACACCACGGCTGAAAAAGAAAAAAAACCCTTGAAATTATTAATTTCAATTTGATGGAAACTAAGGAAGGTACAGCTCCTACAAAGTGGCGAAATTCTACACAGACGTTTGTATAGTGGGGAGGGGGAGGGGTACAAACTTACCCCCACCATAAAAATGTCCGTGTAAAACTTCGCCACTTTGTAGAGCAATATTTTCGCTCTCTTTGAATGATTGAGTGAAAAAACTTTATTTTTACACGGTGGTCATTTCAAGATACAAAATTGCTTGGTTGGACAAGGAAAGGGAAAACTTGGTCACGTGGTACAAATTTACGTTTGGCGTTTGCCGTAAACGTGATTCTGAATAGAGAGATTAAGCATCACGTTTATGTCAAATGGCAAACGTGAATTTGTACCACGTGACCAAGCTTCCTCTTTACTTGTCGTTTACTGTTCATTATTTCTACTTCTAAATTAGTAGTTTCACTCGATTTTTCATCCATAAGAATTGTTTTGAGCTGTTCTTATCGGCTCATTTTCTATTTTGAGAATTTCTCAACTTAAATCTGACGTTTGCCGTTTGCCGTATACGTGAAACTTAAACTCTCTAATCTCTAATGTCATGAGTTATCGACGTAAAATGTGGTTGCTTTACCTTTTTGCCTTCACCAGGTGACATACAAGAAAGATTTGTATGCTGTTGAGGGTGTTTTACAGGGTACGTCTAATGAATTCACTTACATGTAATTAACTGATATCATGACTTCTGTTGCCAATGCCCATCACAGAATAAAGAATGACAGACATAGGATATTTCTTTGGCAATCAACGTAAACAACTGAATAGGGTGAAGTACAACCACTTCAGTCCATAGTCGCGTGTAGGGACGAAGCAGTCATGTAAAAATCTAGCTTGGGACCAGGCTCCTTGGTGAAGTGGGGAGAAAGGAAAATAAAAATCGGCGAGCGAGGGACTAAGGAGGAAGGCCCCACCCCACTCCACTTCCCCCGTTCATTTTTTCCCTCCCTGTTTCCTCGCGATATTTATCCCCCTTCCCCCAGATGGAGAGCCTGTGATAGCAAGAGCCCCATAAAGCGGCTACATTGGGCTGCCGGCTGCGCTGCAGTAGGTTAATATATAGAAAATGTGATGATAGTTATACTTTAATTTTACAGCGTGAGTGTATAGCTATTCCTATCCTTAGGATGAAAATGTACTATAATTTGAAGTTGTACGATCATCTAGGTTAAATTATTCCTGAATAGTGGCTATAAATATAACTCCACGCAAGAATTTCGTTTTCTTTGCAAGTCTGTTCTCAAGATATTAGTTTACGATATACGTTTGGCGCGCACGTGGCAAAGCAGACGTATTGGTGCAAACGCAAACAGCAAATCAAGACTTCTCCTGGAGTTGAAAAGTCCTTAAGGAGCGCATCAGACATCCAAGTTTAAAACAGGAAAAAAAATTCATCGTCCATAAGATGTCGCATATTAAGAACGCTTCACGTCGTAGTTGTGCTGCGGCAGCAAAGGATTGTTTACCAAGAAATGCGATTCATGTGCAGAGTCAAAAGTGACCAAAGTTTCATTTCAAAATTTCATTTTGTTATATTTTGAAAAACCAATAGGATGCACCATGTAAAGGTACTGGCAAAGCGGCTTCATTTAAATAGTCACGCACATAGCAGGATTTCGTCCACAGACTCAAAAGTTAGAACCACCTTACAACACTTCATCACCGTCGGAGTGTAAGGGATAAGCCCGCTTTTGCCTTTTTGACGTTCTCGCTGCTGTCCCCGAAGAGGGGAGTTCGTTAAAGTACGCAAACTTTATAAGGAGTGTGACAGTTTACCATGAGCATAGGGTTCCAGGGGTTCCGCCGCCGCCGCCGCCCCCCCCCCCCCTCCCCCCACTTCTTTGGGCTACGGCACTGTCTGTCATTTCAAGAAGAATTAGATTTTCTGTTAAAGAAAATGAGAAGAAGATCAAATGAAAAAAGGATCAAATTATGAATACTATGAGGAAGATCATACGAGGCCCCTGTGTGTACAAGCCTGCAATGTGGGAATTAAGCACTTTTGTTGGTCTCGATTGCTTTGAATTGCATGTTGTAATAGTTTGACTATGAGAGGGTTTGATACAAACTCGGTAGAGGCAGAAGGACAGTGTAAAGAAGGGAGAATGAAATCAGCGTTGATGTTTGCAAATCAGTCTGAGGAAATTGTCTGAAAGTGGGACACTAACAGTAACAGCACGGCGAACTGCCTAAAACATGCAGTATTCAATTGTGAGTTCATCAGTTATATGCCACCCAGGTTACCATGATTCGGTGCCTTTTCTTTACATAAATGCTACTCAGTATCCGGCTCCGAAAGCGACACATGAATGTCTATTAGACTACAATCACCCCGAATTTTTATTTTATTTTTTTGGCGGTGCAAGTGGCTAAACGCGGAAAAAGACCTCTTTAGTTGTGCAGTTGAGGGCTTAGCCATGAATTCCTTCCAAACTTATGCAAGTTGTTGTGTATTTCAAATATCTTACAAATGACATCAGCAGAACGTGCCCGATGGCATAACACATTCCGCAGACTTAAAAGGTACTTGGCAGCGACCATGACTAAAGAGTGAGAGTCCGCTGCATTTGCTCTGATGAACATCCATTGAAATTGACCTAAGTCCAACACGGAAGCATCCATGATGTCTCCTTCTTGCTAATATCCTAACTGAGTAAACGGCAAATCATGCCCACAGGACTACAGTGCGTGTTTTAATGTTTCAACGATTATCAATATATAAATTTTTAAGTCTATCACACTATCTCTTCACTGAAAGCGAAAAAATGCTGGCTTCATTTGGCACTGTTATTGGAAACTTGTGCTCAGAATCACAAAGCGAAATTTCTGAGGACCTAAAGTATTAACCTTTTCCGGGGGAGAATGCCTTATACCCCATGTACATGTCTTCTAAAGCTCGATTGTCAATCTAGACAAAAAAACCACATTAGAAACCCCTCTATGTAATAATGTTGGCTACGCCCCTGTCGAGGTGATATTGAACTCGAGAATTAAGAATGTTCTGGGGAGAGACATTGTCAAGACTCCCGAATCAATATCAGAGACTACTAAACGACTTCCTGTTGCCGATGGAAGTATGCCAACAATAACCAGGTGACCAAGGCTTTAAGTTCCTTGTAAACCTTTTTGTTTCTTTCTCGAAAATGTTTCTGTTGTAGCTGGACATTTCTTATTAAACGTGTCGCATGAATTTGAACCTTGTAAACGCGTCGATGCGACGTGGTGTACGAACTACGATAATTTGTTGATTATAAAAATTTGCCGCTAAATCATGGCCATTTATTACTGGTTTTCAGCCGGCGTAATGTTGTCAACAAACTCCTTGAATTTAAAAGAACTCATATGCTGCAGCTAAGAAAGCGTTTGACTTATCCTCTCATCAAAAAAAAATCTTATTAACTTGAAATAAGTAACTAGAACTAACGTACGTCGTCCGAGCTTCGTCCTTTTGGATAAAGAATATTTAATCCATCTAATAATGCGTGAAAACACATATCACTATCTTGCAATACTTATTACCATAGAAACTTTCTCCACTCTAAATTGAAGGTGGAGGCTATACTTCTCTTCAATAATTAACAGGGGCACCCAACTTCAATTTTCGGAAAATATCTGTTCGGAAGACGATTTGAGATCTAGAATTTTCGGAACATTTGTTGTAAAATTTCTTGCTTGCCCGCCTCTCCTAGGATTTTCGAACATCTAAAAATTTATATAATTGCCCATTTTTAGCGGATTTTTATCCTAAAAAGGTCACCCAGATTTTCGGGAGCCCTTTCTCTGGCTGAAATTGTCGAAAAGGTAAGTTTTGATACTACGGTTTTCTGGGCCCGGTTGCATAAAACGCCCGTAACAACTACGGGTATACGTACGTGCACTCGTAACTTAAGCGAGTTGCATTAAATCACTTAAGTGGTCCACTTAGGGAATTCACTTAAGTGGTTGCACTTACGATTTTCGTAAGTGTTCACGTAAGTGTCGTTTATGCAACAGAAATTGCGGGTGTTGCATAAAACGTTTTTTACGGGAAAAATAGCACGTAAATTTACGGGACCTATGTAGGTCCCGTATATAGTTACTGTTTTTACTAAAGTTAACGAGATCTTTTACTGAGAGTGAAAAAAAGTAATTTTTCCTCAGGTAATTCGTTCTAATGTGCTTTGTTAACCTCTTATGTACACTTTAAAGCCGACGTTGTGAAAAAAGAAGAAGAATTATCATTTTCAGTAGACATAGAAGAAAAATAACGATTGCATGCAAATTTCATTTTTTTGAGAGGCTTAAAAGTGTTCGAAACGACTTAAAAATCTCTTTACACTCTCCAATGGTTAGCTTAAAAAAAGAGTCAGAGTCATTAATAAAGTACTATATCAAGGTTACGTGTGCCCTTAAGTGAGCCCGTAAGTTACCACGTAAAACAGAAACTTACGAGAGTGCTAAGTGCGTTCCATGCAACACCCGTAAGTGAACCCATAACGGATTCGTAAGTGACCTACTTAAGTGGGCACTTAAGTGTAGGTTTTATGCAACCGGGCCCTGATCACTAGACTTTCAGCTAGTAAATCAGAACAGATGAAAAATTTTTAGGGGATAGAAATATGCCTATATCTACCGTTTAAATACTAAACTACGTTTAACAATGCTATGTTAAAGTGGTTTTGAACTATATTCTCGTTGGGTGCCTCTGAATTAAATTTAATTTCGAATTCTCAGAAACTTCCATTGTTAAGGGTCGAGATAGAGACGGTTTATATTCGGAAGCACGATCTTGAGACGTTTTCTGACATGTGTCCACCTAAGTACGTAGAGACAGTCAAACCTCGCTTTATGGACACCCACTTAATACGGACACCTCGTTATTACGGACAGTTTGCTTTGTCCCTAGGGACAGTAAGCCGTACATTTTCTCTGAATTCAACCCGCTTATTGCGGACACTCCGTTAATACGGAGACTTTCTATGGTCCCCTCAGTGTCCGTATTATCGGGGTAGGACTGTAGGCAGCATGACTGTGTCACCGTGTTCTTCACTGCCCGTTTGATTTCTTTCATCTTCCAGCAAAAAACTAATGGGTTCAGAGAGGAATTTAGGTATAACATTGTGACTGAAGCATTCCACACGATATCATTGTCTCTTCTATAACGGTTTAACACTGTCGCTACTATGAATGGAACATAGCAAGCAACCATTGTCATCTGAATCCAGGCTATGCTAGAAACGGTTCTCTTGTATCGTTGCATGTTTAATGGCCGCGGTAATCCTTCGTTCTGTTGCTCTTGGTTACGACGGTCTTGCACTCTACCTTGGTGTTGCCGAAGTTTGAGAAATATTTTAACGTAGGAAAAGACTGAGGCTACTAAAAAAAAGGTTCCCCCGATTGTAGCCCCATTTAAAGCAATTTGAAAGCTCACGAAAGAGCCTATCATTCCGGACAAAATACCAATCAACCAGAAACAAGTAACTAATACAGCAACTCGTTTTAACGTGACAACGATTCTGTATCGCAGGCCCAGCGTAAGGGCGAGAAGTCTGTCTAAACTTATAGCGGTCGATGTCACGCCTGATACTCCACACAAAATAAAACTTAAAGATGAATTTACTGCGATGAAGTAGAACAAATTCCCAGGACTAATTATCTTTGTCGCACTATTTAGTATAAGGATAGCAAACACTGGTTGCAGATAAAGGCCAACGCAAAGATCAGTGACTGAAAGACATCGAAATAGCAGTTTTGTCGGTGGATGAATAGAAGGCACTTTATAAAGAGCCACCAGGATCAGTGTGTTCCCCACGAATGCGGTGATAGAAAGAACAAAATTTAGAGCTGAAAGAAATATAGTTATGCCTGCTTGTAATGTGCTTGTTTGGTTCACCATCATGTCTGCGTCGTCAAAGCTGTTCCCCCTTTTTTTTTCGCTAGGTCATTGGTCATGCGGGAGAAAATTCCGGTTGACACCTTTTCACTGAGCTTATAGCATGAACTAACACTTACATTAATTAATTCGCAGAATTGTGTTTATCACGTACCTGCTTCTATTTCGTTAGTGTGACTGGTTGTAATTAATTATATTGGTTCATACGTCAGTGTGCGGATGTCGAGATATTAAGAGATTTTGCAAAGAAAACATGTTAAAGCACAAGGCAAACACAAAAATCGGCCCAATTTTTCATTTAGGTCTTTCCTTTAGACTGGAAAATCGACCCTAAAAATCGTAACCTGTAAACTGGCCTCCACCGAAGAGTATGTGCGTGCGTGAATTAAAGGCACCTTTTAATTTTGTTTAATTTAGGAGCTGATTGTAATAAGTTTTAAAACAGGTGTGGTGAGGAGTTATGTGACGCGGATTCGGGCAAAAATTCTTCTTCAAGGCTACTACTGTTATCGAACTTTATTCACTATTATTTTTTGCTATAAATATAACAGTTTAGCTTGATGGGAAAATGTTTTGAAGGTCAGTTTGCCGGATACTTTTTTTCTTAAATCTCCCATGGTCACCCCTTAAAAGGTGAATGGAATGGAATGGAAGTTTATTATTAAGTCTACAAACTGAAGCTTCGCTTTTGGCTTGGTTAAATCTGTATATTATTATATGGATTTAATGTATTCAGTGTAACGATAGAACCTGTTTATAGACTGAAGTATACGAAATAAACACTGTCGTCATTGATTAACTTTGACTGTTCTTCTTGTAATCAGAGAAAAAAATCCGTAGAGCCTTGGTTATTGGACAAGGCCTATCACACTTTTGTGAGCAACTAAAAGAACTGCTTCAGAAAAGAAATGTTGCGGTAAGTTATATTAAAGCGTGCGCCCTAGTCTTTATTGGAAGACGATGGCTCTTGGTCAACTTTTTAAAATCGTTTGTATGATAATGTATATTTATTTCGCACTATAGGCGACCTTTCATTCCGATCTGTCAGCGGAAAAACAAGATTCCTTCGAAACATCAGCGGAGCAGTTGGTAAGCACATCCCTGTACTATTGACACCTAGTGAGGGGGTGAAATAAATGAAAATACAATTGAATACAATGACAATACAGTTATATTGTAGAAAGGCAACGCAGTGATTTCTTCACGTAGCTCAGATACATGAGGGACTTTAAGATCGAAAGACGCCAAGGCAACGAGAACGTCGCTAAAAAAGTGAATTTGCGTTCTTTCAGTCTTAATCGCAATTATTCCTACCCAATTACTTTGTCAGATGTAGGCGAATCCTCCTGGAGTTGAATTCCAAGGGACCATTTCCAAGTTAAGAAAGAGAAATATAATTTTGTCGTTGCTTGTTTACATAATCCATAAAACGCGAAATTAGGCAATTTCACGTCGTAGACGTGCAAAAACGGCAAAGAAATGTACTAATAAGCGTGATGCACGTGCAAAGTTATTGTTTTGCTTATAAAACCTATGGTTTTTTTACGTTCTCGTTGCCGTCCGCGTCATTGGATCTTAAAGTACTTATTGCTACGCAAAACATACTTGTGACAGTATGTCAATCGTCGCTCTGATCTCAAGGCAAAACAAAGAAAGACAGGAAAAAAAAAAATGAAAACAAGAATTCATAGCAACGTGGAATTAGTTTCAGTAGAAAGATAATAAAGATTCTTGAATTGTCTTTGCAGATATCCGAGGTTAGCCACGGCAGTGTATCTGTTGTTTTTGCTCTCGATGATAAAACGTCCTCCACGGTAAGGTATCTTATAATACGTTTCTCATCTGTTTTTAGTGTTCATATTGCCATTCAGTCTCATCTACCATGTATGCCTTACTGCTTTTCACCATAAGATCAATGTCGTAGTTTTTGAAATATAGTGACCCTGTTAACGGGAGAACCTTTTTTGGCATGGGCGCATCTGTAGGCGGAAAACGCTACTGTCGGGTGGACACTAATACTAGGCGGACATCCCTCACTTCTACTGTATGGGAACTTTCCTTTAAGACAGGCACACCATGTATTGGACACTACTGTAAGGTAGCCCTGTTAAGTGGACACCCATCAAGGTCGAGCAGACAACCCCTTAATGTGGATACACTGTACCCCTCCAATAAAGGCTCTTCTGTAAGTCGACACCCTTGTAGGCTGGTTGCCTCCGTGAACCATTGTAAGGTAGACCGCCCTGTAAGCGGACGGACAAAGAAACTGGGGAGTTGAAGCAACAACGACGGCGACGGCTAGCAAAACCTCACTTAAAAAGTGAATTCTCAATGCCTCAAACTTAATCGCGCTCATTCCATCTCGTTTAATTCGTCAAATGTTGGCAATTTTTTTTTTGGAATTGAATTCTAAGGGACTGCATCAAAGTTCAGGAAAAGAAAAAGAAAGTTGTTCTCTTGTGTTCCCGTCCTCGACAAAACGTGAAATTACTACGGGCAGTTTCACGTTGTAGACGTGCAACAACGGCAGGGAAATGTACAAAAAAGCGTGATGCACGTGCAAAGTTGTTGTTTTGCTAATATAAACCTATTGCTTTGTCGCCGTTCTCATTGCCGTCGCCGTTGTCGTTGCTTAAGCTCCCTGCCCGTGCGAAAATGTGTGCAGTTGTATAATTGGTGTTCGGCTTGATTAAATCATTTACCACGTGCACAACACGTGTTGGGAGGAGCCACCCACAATTTAAGCACAGTTTCTAACAGGACATATTTTTGAGGGAAAAAACGCAAAATAATTGTAAAGCAGACACATCTACTCTTCTCTATGAAAGGCCTACATCTTGATGGCTGCCTTTGCTAACCCTGAACTATGATGCTTTTCTTTGCTTCAGGTTTGCGTACCAACATTTGTGATGCAGTTTACGCGGGAAATCTCACGAAAATGCAATCATTGTCATTTGAAAGAACTTAGGTTGATAATTGTTAGATTTTCACACTGCAGAAAGAACTTCAGTGAATTCAAGGTTGGTTGAGATGTCATTAGAACCCGGGCGCCGTGTAGTGATGTTCACCCTCGATATGTAATTTAAAATTTTCTTACTGGACGAGGCGTGTTAGTTTAACTGATAACAAAAGTTGTCTGTTATAAGTCGAGAAGACTAGGGTATCATTTATTTATTTATATATTCATTTATTTATTCTCACGCATTTTCAAATTACAGTTCCACCCACAAAAGGCAAAAGCTAATCAAGGCCGGCAGAGATTCCTTATTATTTGTAGGAGATCCTTGCCAATATTATTTTACTCAAGCCAATTCACAGAGTCGCCTACTTTACCATCGTGTAGCTTAGTGCAGCATCAATAGTATGCATGCATCCCAAACTATATGGATCCTCGTTTATGTTGTGCTCGCCGGTACGAATCTCTGTCAAGCTACAATTCATAAGAATTGCCGTGGGGTTCGGAAAATGTTGGGTGGTATCGGCTTTCCAATCCTGTGTGTGTTTGTTTACTTATAAATCCATCTTTTTTCCAGTTAACTAAAGTTGAAGAAGTTTTCACTTTGTTTTACGAAACATTTATTTTTTGTCACTCGACAGCTTGCTATAGAGGAAATGAAGTCACGTGTTCATGAACAGGGTGTAATTTGTTTTGGTGTATTTGTCAGCCTAGGCCTCAATAATCAAAAGGTACAGTACATTATTCATTTTACCTCATCGTAGCGAACTTCACAGGAATATTTAACAGTTACATAGTCTAACAACTTCGATTTTGTCGTTTCTAACTAGTGTGAAAATTTATAGTAGAATTACCGGCCCTAAGAGAGTGTTACCACATGTATTTGAACTCAAACCATGAAATCCTAACGGTGAATTCCTAATGCCCACTGCTACGTAGAGTTTAGAAGGGTTCTATGTTAATTCAAGGCTTATTCTGGACGTTACCCTGCGAACAGAGGTTTCTTTCTTGCATGGCTTGTCAGTCACGACTTCGTTTACAAAATTAACTTTCGTGTTTGGTGGGGTTGAATCCCATGTTGTAACCACTGAAAGCTATCCTGTATTTCAACAGGAAAATCCTGACAATTCAAAGCTGGCGGAAAAGGCAGCCGAATTAACCATCGGAGCCTTGCTGGATGTGCCCCCAATATTTAATGGACAAACGTTCGACGCAATCACGTGACAGGCGCGGCTTTCAACGCAGTCTCCATTTTTCGTGCAAGTCACTTGGATTTATGTTTTCGCTTTTGGAGAATATGAAGGCTCACTTGGCGGCAGGATGCCTTGCATGGCCAGCTGGGTACACACTGTTGCTACGCGATGGGTAGCCTACGAAGGAGATGTGTGGGTTCTGTTGACGATGGACAGCTATCAACAACAATCGATCAAGGTTTCTTTGTTAAAACTCGCATAAGACAGAAAATCATTTGAAATGAATCTTTCATTTTGCCACCAAATTGTTGGCTTTTGCAGGAACAAAGCCGCGCAGGTTTTTTTTACCCTCGGTGGCGACCCAAATAACGCCGAACGGCGGTTCTTAGGATAGTTCGAAATATCCTTTTCAGTTCTAAGGTAGTCTGTTGAAGTAAAGTGGTTATACAAATTGAGTGCTAGAATAATCATTTTTTTAACGATTTTCTTTTCTGAAAGTTCGGATAAACTGTGTGTTTAGAGTAACCATCCGTTGGTAGGGATGCCGAGGTGAACGACTGATACAAAGCTGTCACTAAATATTAGAACGGCTCTATTCCTGCTGCAAAAGATTTTCGTGGAAATGCTTTTAATTTCTTAAAAATATCTTTCGCTCTCCAGAGATTAGGTGAATTAAGCTAAAATTATGGAAGCCAATTTATTTACTGATCTGTAAAAATAAGTTGTTTTAAGTCAAATGTAAATAAATCTAGAGATAAAGAAGGTGACTGTTGGATATCTTCAGCAAGAAAGAAATTCTCAGTCTTGCCATAGCCTGTTCACAGAGCCTCTATTTTCTCCTCAGAGTCCGTCGAGCGCGCGTGATAAAAACCGATTTCGAAAACAAAGAAAAGAAAAATAAAGCAACGTCTACTTTTTTTCTTTCTCGGGCTCCGCGCTCGCCGAATAAAACAACGTCTGTGTACAGGCTATTCCTGTCACTGCTCTTATTTGTTTTACTTTTATAAAATTCAGTTTGTAAAATATTATATTATAAAAATAAAAAAGCAACTTGCAAGGACTCCCAGGGACGTCTCACTGGAGTGGCCACCGTGACTCAGGAGAGGTTTTTTCTTTGAACTATGTTATACAGCATAAAGAATTGTACCACTCAAAACTACTGCCAAAGAGTATACATTTGAATGGTCATCATGACTATTGGATTTCGTCCACAGACTCAAAAGTGTTAAACTACCTTGAGAACTCTATTAAGTTTCCTTCCACAAACTCGTAAGCAAGTCAAGAACTGCTACATAACGTATCACTAAACACATCGCTGTTGATTTGTTTAGTAATTCTGTTGAAATACACAGGTGTACCAATACGAGCTAGGAACAAGTGATATTATTCTCACATATGTCAGCTCATATGTTATTTTCTGCCAAAAAAAATGAAGCTGGCATTATAGACCCGTAGAAAGGTAAACAACCATTTTAGAGCACTTAGTGAAACAATACTAAACACACGAACGCACGTTAAATCGAATGTGATTTAGAACAGATGATTAACTAGGTAGTATTAACTTACTTGAGTAATTATGGCAAGTTTAAGAAAAAAGACCGTGTCAGTATAATCAGAAAACAGCAATATTTGATGGCAACGAATACTAACTTCGTTGGCGTTGATGGGTCAGCTTGTTCCTGTTGCGAAAGTCCCGATATTAACAGACACAAAATGCTGTGTTTGTTTATATTCAAGATGGTCAGGTCTCAATGGTTTTACAGATACTATGATTAAACTATCATTTCAAAAAACAAAATAGACTAATTTGTCAGCTAGGACTGGCGATTTTATTCCCTAGATTTTGCATTTGCTATCATGAACATCCATTGTTTTACGCAAATTGACCTAAGTCCAACAATCGACACCTTTGTACGGAAGCATCCATGATGTCTCCTTCTTGCTAATATACTAACTGAGTAAACGGCAAATCATGCCCACAGGACTAAAGTGTGTGTTTTAATGTATTCAACCATTATGGATATATACATTTTAAAGTCTATCACACTATCTTAACACTGAAAGCGAAAAAATACTAGCTTCATTTGGCACTGTTATTGGAAATTTGTGCTCAGAATCACAAAACGAAATTTCTGAGGACCTAAAGTATTAAACTTTTCCGGGGGAGAATGCCTTATACCCCATGCCTTCTAAAGCTCGATTGTCAATTTAGACATGCAAAAACACCATATTAGAAACCCCTCTATGCAGTAATGCTGGCTACACCCCTGTCGAGGTGATATTGAACTCGAGAATCAAGAATGTTCTGGGGAGAGACATTGTCAAGACTCCCGAATCAATATCAGAGACTACTAAACGACTTCCTGTTGCCGATGGAAGCATGCCAACAATAAGCAGGAGACCAACGCTTTAAGTTCCTTGTGAACCTTTTCTGTCTTTCTCGAAAATGTTTCTGTTGTAGCTGGACGTTTCTCATTAAACGTGTCGCATGAATTTGAACCTTGTAAACGCGCTTTTATTACTGGTTTTCAGCCGGCGTAATGTTGTCAACAAACTCTTTGAATTTAAAAGAACTCATATGCTGCAGCTAAGAATACGTTTGACTTATCTTCTCATCAAAAAAAAATCTTATTAACTTGAAATAAGTAACTAGAACTAACGTACGTCGTCCTAGCTTCGTCCTTTTGGATAAAGAATAATTATTCCATCTAATAATGCGTGAAAACACATATCACTATCTTGCAATACTTATTACCATAGAAACTTTCTCTACTCTAAATTGAAGGTGGAGGGTATCGTTCTCTTCAATAATTAACAGGGGCACCCAACTTCAATTTTCGGAAAATGTCCGTTCGGAAGACGATTTGAGATCTAGAATTTTCGGAACATTTGTTGTAAAATTTCTTGCGTGCCTGCCCCTCCTAGGATTTTCGAACATCTAAAAAATGATATAATTGCCCATTTTTAGCGGATTTTTATCCTAAAAAGGTCACCCAGATTTTCGGGAGCCCTTTCTCTGGCTAAAATTGTCGAAAAGGTAAGTTTTGATCCTACAGTTTTCGGATCTCTAGACTTTCAGCTAGTAAATCAGAACAGATGAAAAATTTTTAGGGGATAGAAATTTGCCTATATCTACCGTTTAAATACTAAAATACGTTTAAAAATGCTATGTTAAAGTAGTTTTACACTATACTCTCGTTGGGTGCCCCTGAATTAAATTTAATTTCGAATTCTCAGAAACTTCCATTGTGAAGGGTCGACATAGAGACGGTTTATATTCGGAAGCGCGATCTTGAAACGTTTTCTGACATGTGTCCACCTAAGTACGTAGAGACAGTCAAACCTCGCTTTATGGACACCCACTTAATACGGACACCTCATTATTATGGACAGTTTGCTTTGTCCCTAGGGACAGTAAGCCTTACATTTTCTCTGAATTCAACCCGCTTATTGCGGACACCCCGTTAATACGGACACTTTCTATGGCCCCCTCAGTGTCCGTATTATCAGAGTTCGACTGTAGGCAGCACGACTGTGTCACCGTGTTCTTCACTGCCCGTTTGATTTCTTTCATCTTCCAGCAAAAAACTAATGGGTTCAGAGAGGAATTTAGGTATAACATTGTAACTGAAGCATTCCACGCGATATCATTTTCTCTTCTATAACGGTTTAACACTGTCGCTACTATGAATGGAACATAGCAAGCAACCATTGTGATCTGAATCTAGGCTATGCTAGAAACGGTTCTCTTGTATCGTTGCATGTTTAATGGCCGCAGTAATCCTTCGTTTTGTTGCTCTTGATTATGACGGTCTTGCACTCTACCTTGGTGTTGCCGAAGTTTGAGAAATATTTTTACGTAGGAAAAGACTGAGGCTACTAACAAAAAGGTTCCTCCGATTGTAGCCCCATTAAAAGCAATTCGTAAGCTCACGAAAGTGCCCATCATTCCGGACAAAATACCCATCAACCAGAAACAAGTAACTAGTACAGCAACTCGTTTTAACGTGACAACGATTCTGTATCGCAGGCCCAGCGTAAGGGCGAGAAGTCTGTCTAAACTTATAGCGGTCCATGTCACGCCTGATACTGCACACAAAATAAAACTTGAAGATAAATTTGCTTCGATGATGTAGAACAAATTCCCAGGGCTAATTATCTTTGTCGCACTATTTAGTATAAGGATAGCAAACAATGGTTGCAGATAAAGGCCAACGCAAAGATCAGTGACTGAAAGACATCGAAATAGCAGTTTTGTCGGTGGATGAATAGAAGGTACTTTATAAAGAGCCACCAGGATCAGTGTGTTCCCCACGAATGCGGTGATAGAAAGAACAAAATTTAGAGCTGAAAGAAATATAGCTATGCCTGGTGGTAATGAGCTTGTCTGGTTCACCATCATGTCTGCATCGTCAAAGCTGTTCCTTTTTTTTTTTTCGTTAGGTCATCGGTCATGCGGTGAGAAAATTCCGGTTGACACCTTTTCAGTGAGCTTATACCATGAACTAACACTTACATTAATTAATTCGCATAATTATGTTTATCACCAACCTGCTTCGATTTCTTTAGTGTGGCTGGTTGTAATTAACAATATTGGTTCCTCCGTTAGTGTGCGGATGTCGAGATATTAAGAGATTTTGCCAAGAAAACATATAAAAGCACACGGCGTAGACAAAAATCAGCCCAACTTTTCATTTAGGTCTTTCCTTTAAACTGGAAAATCGACCCTAAAAATGGTAACCTGTAAATTGGCCTCCACCGAAGAGTATGTGCGGGCGTGAATTAAAGGCACCTTTTAATTTGTTTATTTTAGGAGCTGATTGTGATAAGTTCGAAAACAGGTGTGCTGAGGAGTTATGTGACGCGGGTTCGGGCAAAAATTCTTCTTTAAGGCTACTACTGTTATCGAACTTTATTCATTATTATTTTTGCTATAAATATAAGAGTTTAGCTCGGTGGGAAAATGTTTTGAAGGTCAGTTTGCCGGATACTTTTTTTTCTTAAATCTCCCATGGTCACCCCTTAAAAGGTGAATGGAATAGAATGGATGTTTATTATTAAGTCTACAAACTGAAGCTTCGCTTTTGGCTTTGTTAAATCTGTATATTATTAGATGGATTTAATGTATTCAGTGTAAATAAACACTGTCGTCATTGATTAACTTTGACTGTTATTCTTGTAATCAGAGAAAAAAATCCATAGAGCCTTGGTTATTGGACAAGGTCTATCAGACTTTTGTGAGCAACTAAAAGAACTGCTTGAGAAAAGAAATGTTGCGGTAAGTTATATTAAAGCGTGCGCCCTAGTGTTTATTGGAAGACGATGGCTCTTGGTCGACTTTCATCAGTTAGGTTAAGATCGTCTGATAGTTTAAACGTCGAACTTAGGACGCGTCGAACCAATCAACTGAATCAGACCAACAAGAAATTTTAGCCGGCCAGCGGGTGTTTCTCCCGAACAAGGCTAAATATACCTTATCGTCTGAAGCAGCCGAGACGGATAGAACGTCTGAAGATCGTCTCCGGGACAAACGTCGATCTTCACATGTGACGAACTAAACTAACAAATTAATCATTTGTATGATGATGTATATTTATTTCGCACCATAGGCGACCTTTCATTCCGATCTGTCAGCGGAAAAACAAGATTCCTTCGAAACATCAGCGGAGCAGTTGGTAAGCACATCCCTGTACTATTGACATCTAGTGAGGGGGCTAAATAAATGAGGATACTATTGAATACAATGACAATACAGTTATATTGTAGAAAGACAACGCAGTGATTACTTCACGTAGCTCAGATACATGAGGGACTTTAAGATCCAAAGACGCGAAGGCAACGAGAACGTCGCTTAAAAAGTGAATTTGCGTTCTTTCAGTCTTAATCGCAATTATTCCTACCCAATTAC